ATAGAACCCCAGTCTCTTCTGGCTTGTAAGGTTTTGGGTGAGAAGCCTGTTGTTAGTCTGATGGGATTCTCCTTTTAGGCAATTAGACAAAATATATATATTTGAAGTTATATTTATATATTAATACTCCAATGAAGCTGGCTTCTAGCACTGTCATAAATGTTTTACCCAGTTTTATATTCCTTTGGTCAATTTTGAGTGGAATTCCATTACTAGAACTGAAGCCCTGTTCTCTGAGTCTTTAAACACCCTAAATCTATAAATTCAGAGACACCACTTTCTTATAGACTTTTTTCTACACGCCTGACTATTACATGTTGGCCTCGATCCCTGAACTCCTTTTCCTAGATCCTTAAGTAGCTACTGTCCTCAATTTCTATCCATGTCTCACTTCTGTTCTCATTTCCTGGGCTATCAAACTCACAAGGATTTAGTTCCATTTGTTAAGTCCTCCCAAATCTGTATCTTCTGCTCTGACATTCATACCTGAGTTTTTGACTCCTGCACTGAACTAAGTTAGCATGAACTGGATGTCCCACAGTACCACAAACTCAAGATATTTAAAATCAAAGCCAGTACTTTCTAATAGTTAAGAGCTCTCTAGAGCCAGATTGTCTGGGTTCAGATCTTGCCTCTGTCGTTTACCAGGTATATGATGTTAAGCAAGTTAATCTCTCTGTGACTCAGTATCATTTTATAAAATGAGGAGACAGTCATTCTTCAGTATCCATGGGTGATTGTTTCCTGGACCCCCAAGGATACAAAAATTCATGGATGCTAAAGTCTCTTACTGTTGGCCCTTTGTATCTGCAGTTTCCACATATGCAGATATGGAGGGCCAGCTGTAATAACATTACCTACCTCATCCAGTTATAAGGATTGATTGTTGCATGCGAAGCTCTTAGAAGAGTGCTTGGCTAAAGTAAACATTATGTATGTGTTAGCTGTCATTTTTATTTCATCTCCTCCTTATATCACCTATCTCGTTTAATGGTACCATCATTAACCAATCACCTCGGCCAGAAACCCAGGAGTCATCCCCGCTGCCTCCTCTTCCTCACTTTCCTTTGTCCTGATGGAACACTTCTCAAATATCTCCCTTCTTTGTCCTCTCTCTTCTGGTCCAGCTTGGTTGACCAACTGTCCCTGTTTGCCTGGGACTAAAGGGGTTTCTTGGACTTGGGACTTTGAGTGCTAACACCAGGAAAGTCCCAGGCAAATCAAGCTAATTGGTCACCCCAAGTCTGACCTTCATCTATCTCCTTCTAGCTGGTCTCCCCGGCAATACTCTGATCCTCCTTAAGTCCACCTTCCTGCCCATGTTATTCCATACTTAAAACTCCTCCATCATCTCCCATTCTCCAAGGGCAGAAAAACTCTTCAGTGTTGCATAGCTTCGCTCCTCTTCTTCTCCATCTGCAGCTTTGGCCACTCCCTGGAGGCTCTTCCCACCACGTGTTTGGAAGTGTTCCTGAAGTCACATCTCTGTGCCTTTGCTCATGCTAGTTCCCGGACCTGAAACCTCATTCCTCCCTTCCACCTGCCCACCTTCTTTTTATAATTCCTACTCATCCTACAAGTTGAGACTCAGGTATCATCTCCCTCAGGAGGCCTTTCCTACTGCTTTTCCCCCTTCTTTCCACATCCTCCACCCTCCTCCCCTCACCTAGGTGAGCTAAGCGCACCACCCCTGTGCTCCCACAGGACCCTGGGGACATAGCTATGGAAACATTTGTGACACTATAAATGGCATGATCTTTGTATGTCAATGGCCTGCAAGTTCCCTAGGCTCAGGACCCTCATCTTAGTTGGTGTGGTGTCTGGCCTGCAGCGGGGCCTCGCCGGATGTTTGTTGAGTCATCTAATCCACCTTCCACCTCATTCTAGATCTCAAGCCGGAACTGGAAGCTGACTCTGAGGCAGCCTATCCACTGCAGGAGAGCTCTGATTGAGAGGTCTGCCTTGAGCTGAAATCTCTCTTATTATAGGGCAGTCCAATATTGAAGTTTTAGGCTCCAAAGTGGACCTATTTACCCCTCTGTTGCATTTCCTCTTTCAAAGTCAGTTCCTTAAAGTGGTTTCTGTTTTTAACGACCTCTTTAGACAACCTGGTCAGGGGCTTTTTGAAAGTCTAAACTTACCACTTCAGCAAGTTCTGTTTTATCCCTACAGGGACTTGCTAGGGGAAAATTCCAGCAGCTGTGCTTTCCTCCTAGAACCGGGCAGGTCCACGTATGTGTGTCGTCCAGATAGACTGGATGATAACCACTGAGCAGGAAGGGGAAGCTCATGGTGAGCTGGAGTGAAAAGGCAGAGACAGTTTGAAGAACAGCATGGGGCAAGGGTATTGTGGCTGGCTCTGTAAGTTTAAGGGTCAGATATGACCTTAGCTGGATTGGAAGTTTGAAATAGAAAAGAAGTGGCAAATAAAGCAGAAACAGACGAATTGGGGCTTTGGGGTGTGGAAAACAGGAAGCCGCCAATAGGGAACAGGAGACAATTAGCAGCACTTTGCCCAGTCCTTAGTCTTACGGACAGTGGGATCCTTTGCAAATTCTGCATCTGGCCCTTTCCACTTGCTCCCCTGGCTTCATTTATAGACTAAAATCTAAGACTCTTGTGGTCCTTATGGGCCAAAGCCAAGCAGGTAGAGTGTGTCTAGGTGTGCAGACCACAAAGGGAAATGAAAGGCATCTGCCTACACCGCAGGCAGAGTGGGAGGAGGCTCAGAGACTGTGTGTGATTACTTAGAAGGCGGGGCCAGGTCCATGGGCAGGTCATGGAGGCCCAGATCCTTCCAGAGACGCCTAGAGCAGCCTGATGCTAAAGAAAGAACACCAAGTTGAGAGTCAGAGAGCTGGCCCCATAGCTACCACTGTGCATGCTTCAGTGGGTCACATTCAATCCCCAGTCTCCTAACCTATGGAAACCGTGCATCTCTCTCACCAGGTGCAATCAGTTCAGGTGCAATTCCAGTCACTATGGCAAACAGAATGCACCTGGCTTTCCCCCACCCCCCCAGCTCATGCAGCACTTCAGCCCCCTGCAGTCTCTCCAGGTATTTTTGGAAGGTCACGAGTGACATTCCTGTATCAACGGTCATTCCGTTAGCTGTCCAGTCAGTGCCCACTAGGTTCCACTGCCTGCCCCCTGACCACAACCTCCCACCGTGGCTGACAGCTCCAGAGCACAGAGCGCTAAAGGTGCCACAGGCTCTTTTTTTTTTTTTTGAGACAGAGTCTCTTTCTGTTGCCCAGGCTGGAGTGCAGTGGTGCAATCTCGGCTCACTGCAACCTCCACCTCCCAGGTTCAAGTGATTCTCCTGCCTCAGCCTCTCAGGTAGCTGGGATTGCAGGCATGCACCACCATGCCCGGCTAATTTTTTTGTATTTTTGGTAGAGATGGGGTTTCACCATGTTGGCCAGGGTGATCTCGAACTCCTGACCTCAGGTGATCTGCCCACCTTGGCCTCCCAAAGTGCTGGGATTACAGGCGTGAGCCACCGTGCCCAGCCAAGGTGCCACAGGTTCAGTTGGCACCAGGGGAGAAGCCCCCTCTCCCCTGAGTGTTACCCTCTGTCATGGAGTCGCCCCGTCTTACAGAGATTTTGTTAGATCTGTCTTTACTCACAGCTCACCCATTCAGACGCACAGGAGTCTGTGCATAGTGGGGTGATAGGCGGGGGCTTGGCCTAGGGCACAAACCAAGAAGAGAAAGAACCCACAGTAGGTTCCCCTTCCCCTCTGACACCTGGGACTTCATTGCTGAGTCCATTAGTCATGCTTGGCTCCTTCATGGAAAATTATAATTAATAAGAGTTCTTAACAGTGTCTTGGGCTCTGTTCCAAGCACTTGATATATACGGTCTCATTTAATTTTCACAACAATCCTAAAAGGTAGCACAGAGAGATTAAGAAACATGCTTAAAGTCACACAGCTAGTAAGTGGCAGAGTTGGGATTAGAGCCTGGGAAGCCTGGCTTTGAGACTATGCTCTTACCCTCCTCCCGGAGTATCCCACACGGCCTGTCCACAGACTTCTGGCTGGCCTACCCCCGTCCCCTAAAAGTTCAGCTGAAATGCCTGGGCATGTGCGAACCCCCAGTTTAGGCTGCTGCTCGTGCCTCTGCTAGGTGACATGGAACAACTCAGTGGTTGTTCTCAGCCCTGCCTACACTCAAGAGCTTTTTAAACAATGCCCGTGCCTGGGCTCAACTCCATGCCACTTGAATCAGAATCTCCAATGTTATGTTTTTGAAAATTGATTCTTATGGGCAGCCAGGGTTAAGAACACTTGAATGAGATGGTCTCTGAGGCCTCTGGCAATTCCAAGGGTCTGTGGTTGTAAATTACCCAAAGTTGCTGTCTGTGCGTGGAATGAGCCACAACCTCTGAAAGCTCCACCTGAAACCCACAATCCTCCTAGTTCTCTGCCCAATAGCAGGCGACCTCTCTGGAGCTACTCCCTCAGATTAGGAGTTATAAGGATGCCTGGGGATGCTTTCCTTTGGCCTGGTCTGAGGCTTGGGGTCTTTGGCTGCTTTCTAGACCCTCTGTGTCTGCGGCAGGTAAATAATGTTGTATGTGATTTAATGCTGAGAACCAGGGTCAAAACTTTTAAAATCCCTGAAATACCCCCAAATTCCATATACATTAACACGCCTGGCATCGAGGAGATGCTCGGAAAATGTTGAAGAAATCAGCACTCAAGTTCGGGCAACTTGGCAGCCTGGCAAGCACTCTCCACGGCATTCCCATTTGTGTTCAGAATCAAGGATGACAGGTTGGGAAAAGAATTGGAGAAACGATGTGAGATCCAAGGGCAAGGGCAGCCTCGAAGCAGTTTGTGCAGGGTTGTCACTCCTCCGTCACTTGCAGGAGGAGAGCTGGGGACTCCGTGTGCTGGACTGAAGAAATACACCAGATCCCAGGGTAGGAGATGTTGGCAGGGCCACCTGTTGAGCAAAGGTAGCACTCACGTGTGCAATCTCTCTACTGCAGATGGTGACCAACACCTTCAGGACGAACAATATCCAGATCCAGAGCCAGGACCAGAGGCTGCTGACATTGTCACTGGACAAGGACGATCAACGCACTTTCAGGGACGTGGTCAGGTAAGGCTGGGCCTGCCACCCCTAGAGGTCCAGGGCCTGTGGGACAAACCGAAGCAGGAGCCAGCTCCTGCCATCTCCCGCCTCTAGCTCAAGGCACCTCATCGGAGGTAGATCCTGTGGCCAGGCAGGTGTCCTTGGTGAGGATGGACTGAGGCCACTGCCCTATGCCTTGAATCCAGGAAGTTGAGGCAAATGAATGGCAGACCCAGGGCAGCAGCTGCTACTGCATTTTCCCCAGATGCCTCTGCATACACTCAACCTGCAGCCTCCTGATCCAGCCCCCTCTGCAGGCACGGGCCCCTCCCACACAGGCTCACCTTCAGTGGCATCTGTGTCCCAGTTAGCGGACCCTTACTGGCTTCCCCTCGGGAGGTGTGTTCGGGTAAGGGAGGCATACGCAGAGTTACTTGCTCCAAGTGTCTCCTCCTCTCCCGGTGAGCCCCAGGCCCAGGTTGTTCTTTCTCATCCTGACTCTTCCTCTTTCTTCTGTGGGGCCACCTCCTCCATGCCCTACAATAGCAGCTCTGCCTTTCAAATGCCCTAGGCAGATCTGATCCCTGAGACGGGTCAGCTGAGCTGGTCTCTCTCCACCCACAGATTCGAGGTTGCTCCCTGCCCAGAACCATGTTCCGGGGCCCAGAAGTCCAAGGCGCCGTGGCTCAGTTTGCACGGGCAACAGGAGATGGAAGCGACCAGAGCCACACCCAAGCCCCTTCTGATGCCCATCAACACATTCTCTGGCATTGTCCAGTGAGCCTGCAGGGACTACAGGCCCAGGAGGAGGGATGCACTACCCCACCAACCCCAAACACTCACACCAACAGCCAGAGCAAGGCCCAGCTCCACACGGCAGCTTTGGCCTTGACCAGGAGCCAGCGAGTGCCTGGGAGCACAGGGAGCCTGCCGTGGGGGCTGTGACGAGGAAGGGCCCACATGGAGGTCTACGGATGGTCCGGGCAATGCCGCAGCTGCTTGAGAACACGCACACCAAGCCCAGCTTCTCATACAAATGTCTACGCCTTCATTTAACTTCAATTCCCACTTCTTCCACTGTCCTCTCCCACCCAAGCTCCCCACCCAGCCCGTAAAACCACAGTTAGAGCTGCTGTCTTGGCCAGAGCCCTGTGGCCTAGGGGAAAACGGGAAAATGGGAAGCAGGGAACAGCAGTGGCACCACCTCCCCCGCAAGTCTCTTCCCTTCCCACTCTCAGGCCACTGCCTACCTCACCCAGTTGACGCAGGTGTTTCTATCAGGTGGGAGAAAAATGTCAGATTGAATAAATGTACACAAAGTCTTTCTGCTTTCATCTCACACCTGGCAATCTTTATATGTTAATAGGAATCATCAAGGCAATCCTTTATGTAACCCGTTGAGTCCACTTGGGCCAGGTCAGAGTTCTGTGAGGTATAAACCGGTGTGTTCTGTCTCCTGCCCCTTACTTGCCCTGCCACTGCTCTGGAATGCAGTGGCACAATCACAGCTCACTGCGGCCTCGACCTCTCAGGCCCAAGCAATCCTCCCACCTCAGCCTCTCAAGTAACTGGGACCACAGGCGCATGCCACCATACCCTACTACATTTGGGATTTTTTGTTTTGGGGCCTTTATTTATTTATTTATTTATTTTTGACAGAGTCTTGCTCTGTCGCCCAAGCTGGAGTGCAATGGCATGATCTTGGCTCACTGCAACCTCCACCTCCCCGGCTTAAGCGATTCTCCGTGCCTCAGCCTCCCAAGTAGGTAGGATTACAGGCATGCACCACCATGCCCTGCTAATTTTTGTATTTTTAGTAGAGATGGGGTTTCACCATGTTGGCCAGGTTGGTCCTCAACTCCTGACCTCAGATGACCTGCCCGCCTCGGCCTCCCAGAGTGCTGGGATTACAGGCATGAGCCAGTGCGCCCGGCCATTTGGGCTTTTTTTTTTTTTTTTTTTTTGTAGAGATGAGGTCTTCCTAAATTGCCCAGGCTGGTCCTGAATTCCTGGGTTCAGGGGATCCTCCCACCTCGGCCACCCAAAGTGCGGGGATTACAGGCATGAGCCACCACACTGGCTAAGCCAGAGATTAAAGACATCAAAATTCTTGGCTTTTATATTCAAAAACTTACATCCAGGTGTAAAATAGAAAGATCAATGACACATCTTCAGTTTCTTCATCCCCAGAGATAGGTATGGTGTGGGGGGAAAATAACAGAGAAAATCAAAATGCCTGGACTTGAGTCCTATCACCTGGACAGAGTGCCAGGGGATGACGGTGGGCATGGGGGTAAGGTAAGGATGGTAGAGGATTCCCTTTTAAGTTTGGGAATCCAAGAATAGAGAAGAGGGCACTTTGCTTTGGGCCAAATTGCCCCAGGAGTGGAAGCAAGTCTGAATGGCAGGACACCATCTCAATGAGTGTAGGATGGACCACCTGGCGTGCAGAGCCAGAGGGGTCCGAGGTCAGTCTTAGAGAGAGTCCCTGTGCCTGTACAGGACATGGGAAGCAGGCAGAGATTTTCTCGGGTAGCTGAAAGCAGGCAAGCTCAAAGGGAAAAGGGTGCAGCTGCAGGCAGCAGCGTGGAGCACGGCACCTGAAGGCCAGGTGCAGAATTGTGGGCACCTCCACAGACTCCAGCATGGTGCAGTGAGAGAGGGAGCCTGGGGGATGCCATTCACTCCATTCTCACTGCCCCCACCCTGACTGATGGTTTTACTTGCCTGAAGCAATCCAAGAGTTCAGCCCAAGTTCCTGGGGCAACGTGGGCAGCCAGAGGCTGGGCGGGGCCCATGGTCTAGCTCAGGGTGCACCCTGCAGGCGTCAGGACATGCCCCTCGCACACCTGTGCATGTCCAGGCACATTGGAGTCTGACACCTGCCTCCCAGTGGAGATGAACCCAGGACAGGTCAGGACTGAGAAGTGGATGGATGCGCTATCTTCCACTGAGGCTGCCCACAGCAGAACCCAGGGAGGGGCGGGAGTAGGGCAATCATTAGTGTGGCTGAGGTGGCTTTAAACCTGAAATGATTGCAGTAGCACTGAATTGGAGTGAGTTTACCTGGAGGAGACTAGATTTTATTTTTCCTGCCGTTGGCGCGATGTAAACGGATTCATACCAATTTGATCGCTTAGTCATTGGGTTTTCAGTAGATGTCTGCAGAGTTTACCAGTTATTTAGGTTAAGTGAGGCCTCTGGGCCTCCCTCCAACATACTCTGTACCAGCTGATAATGAAGGCAAGTCACAGGTCGAATTCCGTTACACATACACATGTGTTGGCAAGTTATTCCGCTCCACCCCCAGCCAAATTAGGTGCTCTGAGCAAACCCTGTATGAAAAGTTTACTGAATCAGGGGCTGCACACTGGACCATTTTGAAGCAAAGCCTACAGCATCCTTCCAAAGGGTTCGGACTAGTGACATCTCTAGATTATTATACCCTGTTCCAGCAAGAGAGGAAGTGCCTTCAAAAAATTATACCCAATCCAGGTGACTTGGACACCACCAATTTCACCAGTGAAAAACTATTTCTAATATCTATTATGTTCATTAGTGAAGACACTTCTGTTGATTTCAGATTGTTGACGTGCTTGTATTAGCTGTCTCTGTCTTTTTGATGAAATGCTAGCTAACCACCTCAGGTGTGTGTACTCTTAAACAGGGCGCCTGAGTACCCTTAGGTGTAGGTTAAAACCGTGCACCTGGGGACTGCCATGTGCTGGCGGATCGGCTGCAAGGAGTTCCCCTGGACGACTGCCATCAGCTGTCAGGCCTCCTTAGGGATTGTCCCAGCTGGAGACAACCGTGTCACCCAAGGTCATGCCACTTCCGAGGGCAGTGCACATCCAATGAAACAATTCTAGGCTCCTGGGACAAAGGTACCTTCTTTCCTGGAGCTTGGATTCTGGTGGAGACAGACAATAAACAAGGTCAACACATGAAATATAAGCCCGTAGTGCCTTGGACAGTGATAACGTTCTAGAGAAAACGATCAAGTAGGGCAGGGGAGTGGGAGTCTTGGGGGTGGGGTGTGGACAGGGGTATGGGATTTGCGATGTCAGAGTGGACCGGGTTGATCTCTGTGGTTGGTCACTGATCAGGGTGCATTCGAATAAAGACCTGAGGAAGATGAGGGAGAGAGCCTGGTGGATACCATTCATTCCATTCTGGTTCCACGCACGCCGACTGTGACGGTTTTACTTGCCTGAAGCAGTCCAGGCGGTTAGCTCAGATTCCTGGGCTACACTGGCAGCCAAAGGCCGGGCGGGGCCCACCGCCTAACTCGGAGCGCACCCTGCAGGCCCGCGGACGCGCACCTCGCGCACCTGCGCACGTCCGGGCAGGTGGCCTGCGGCGGCGGCGGGACGTGGCAGGTGCGGCTGGCAGGTGCGCCGGCCCCGCCCCCACCTTCGCCTCCGCCGCGCCTCTCCCTCCGGGCGGGGCCACTTTCGGGCCAGCGGCAGGACTTGGGGGCGGTGGCCGGGGGCGGCCGTTGACCTAGTGACCGCGGCGCCGCCCCAGACCGGGGGCGCAGTCCCACTCGCTCCGAGCCCCGGGCCTCCGAGCCTCCCTCCCGGGGGACATGGGGCCGCGCCCGCCCTGCGCCCAGCTCCGCCCTGCGTCGGCCCAGGCCTGACAGAGCCCGGCAGCCATGAACGCCAACCCCCGGTGGGACATCAGCAGGGCGCTGGGGGTGGCCAAGCTCTTCCACCTGGTGTGCGGGGTCCGGGAAGCCTGCGTGACCCCGTTCCTGACTCTCTACCTGAGGCAGCTGGGCTTGGCCGCGCCCTGGGTGGGCATCCTAATGGGAACCAAGCACCTAATCGCTGCCTTCTGGGCTCCGGTCTGTGCCTTCCTGGCCAAAAGCTACCGGAAACGGAGAGTGCTTCTGATCGGCTCCCTGCTCAGCTCGGTGGGGGCCAGCCTGCTGATGGTTCTGATCCCAGCGGCGGACAAAAATCGGATGCACCTCCCTTGTAATGGAAGCAGCGGCGTGACCAGCACAGACGCACTCCCGGGGGTCACACTACGTGTGAACATCACCTCGGCCCAAGAGCCTACCTCCAGGCACCCAGCCAACAGGACCGCAGAGGTGGAAATGCCTGGTTTCAGAAACCCACCGGGTGAAAGTGACCGAGAAACTTTCCGTGATCCGCACGGCTACGTAGCGCCCTCCGTTGAAGGAGCTAGGACCACATCCCAAGTTCTCCTCCATCCTGTCACTTCGGGGCTGAAAGATCATCCCTGGGAAGTTACTTTTGAGATGGTCAAGACAGCCCTCCCCTTGCTTCCTGCGGGGAAAGGGCCCGGAAATCCAGCCAGTTTGTCAGGGACCAAGGGGAAAGCCTGGGCTTTTGACCTGTCTTTGGAAGGGTTGCGGTGGACTTTCATCCTCTCCTTGGGGTCCGTGGCGTTCTGGGAGCTGCTGGCAGCGCCTCTGGAGCAGGTGGCCGATGACAGCCTTTATGAGTATCTGGATTTTGTGGATGCCACTGACCGATACAGAAGCCTGTGGGTCTGGAGGTTGCTGGGCATGTTGGCAGGCGTGTGTGGCATCGCAGCCTTGGTGGGGCAGCTGGACTGCTTCCTGATGAACAGCGGCCCCCGGGGTGTGGTCCACTTCTATGGGTACTCGGTGGTCAGCACCCTGGCCTTACTGGTGAGCATTTTCTTTCCCATTCCCATCTGTCAGCGGTGGGAGCCCAGCTACAAAAGCGTCAAAGCACTGTCTATTGTGGGGGGCGACCCCCGCCTCATTCTCCTCGCCTTCACCGTTGTTTTGACAGGAGCCATCGTCAGTACTGTCCAGAACTTTCTGTTCTGGCACATGAAGGACCATGGGAGTGGCGAGCTGGTCATGGGTTTCTCCGTCACCCTCAGCTTGCTGGGGGAAATTCTGCTTCATCCGTTCAAAACTACATTGCTTAGGAAACTGTCTAGGATGGGCCTGGTGGGGCTGGGGCTGAGCTGCCTCGCTGGGCAGCTGCTCTACTACTCTTTCCTCTGGAGCTGGTGGTCCGTCCTCCCGGTTCAGATCTTGAGTGCCATTAGCAACGGGGCTCTGTGGTGGGCTGTGGGGGCCTCAGTGGAGGACCTGGCCACTCCCCACATGGAGAGGGCTCTGAGTGCCTTGTTCCGAGGCCACTTTTACGGGAGTGGCTGTAGCCTGGGCAGCTTTGTGGGGGGTTTCGTGGTGATGCGCTTCAGCCTGGCTGTGCTCTACCAGGCCTGCTGTGTGGCCCTGTTGCTCTGGTTGGCCTTGCTCCTGTCCATACAGCAGAGGCTGCCTCAAGAGTGGAAAATCAAGTACTCGAAGCT